GCGCTAGGGCGGCCGGCCGTCAGGGCACTAGGGCGGGCGGCCGTAAGAGGAGGGAGCGGCGGGAGCGCGACGGTAGGGGCGACACGCAGGGTCGCTAAAAAAAAGAACGCGCGCCTCGGGGCGCGCTTCGGTGGGCCCTAGGAACAGTCCCTAGGAGGGGACCTGCTCTGATTCCATGAGAAGAATTGAACGAGAATGAAATGAGTATGAACGAAGTGAGTACAAATAGGAAACCCTAATTGGGTTGTACCCCCTATGGGATACCCCACTATAGCCTACACAAATAAGTAAGCTATATGTTCTGACAGGTCGAACTCCGCGGAGCTACGACGTTGGATGAGATGATTCGTAACGCCGGGCGTTTTGACACCATCAACTTTGCAGCATACCAGCGATTCCAAGGACGAACCGGGCAGCACACCACTGCTGGACCTACCTACCGCACCAACGGTCCTTCTCCCATGGAGCTCGGTGTGGTGGAACAACGTGCATGCAACCAGTCCACGCTTATGTGCTACTCGTGTGGGAAAGTCGGCCACATCAAGCGACATTGCCCGAACCGCCGCAACTTCGAAAGGTCTCCGGGAAACGGACAGCGCCAGTAGCAGTGGGGCAGACCTCTGGTGCATCGCATGCCCCGCTTCTCCCGACTCCATTATTCATCGGCACCTCTGAACTCTACACCACATCCAACGCTCCATTCCCCGCCATCATTCTATACGCAAAAATAAAGAATCGCTACGTTGACTTTTTGCTCGATACCGGCGCTTCAACAAATTTCCTCTCTCCCTCAATTGCTGCTGAACTTTCTCTCCCCGAAGATCCCAACAGCAACCCGCAGGACGTGATCATGGCAGATGGTACTCGGCGGCGCTGCGGACCTACTCTCCTCCCTGTGCATTACATGTTTGGAATCTTGGAGGCGATGGTCACGTTCGAGCAACTGCACCTCGGCGGGTACGAAGGCGTTATCGGTCGACCGTGGTTGCACCAGTTTGGACCGCAGATTTATTGGCGCAACGGAACTGTCACCGTCGGCAACTACGACCTCCCATCCCACTCCTTTCGCCGACCATGGTCATCCCCAACCAGTTCCGCTTCATCAACCCATCCACCCCAACCTGCCCCATCTCCATCTTCCCATATCCCCCCTCTCCCTCCTCCTCGCATAGCTCCCGTGCAGCAGCCAACACCACCCGACTCCCCCGAAGTGATCAACACACCTCCTCCTTCTCCACCCCACCCAACCCAGCAGCCACGACGTCCCATCATCCGCCCCGCCTCTGAAGTTATCAATCCATCAGCCCCCACCCCTCCATCACCACCTCCTCATCATCTCCTAGTCATCTTCACCGCTCCCGAATCTTAACCATCACCCAACTCTCTCCCATCACCTATACAGAAGTTACTCTAAGGCTACACCGACGTCTTCCCCGGAGATCTTCCCGCCGAGCGTGCTACTGACCATAGCATCCGCCTCATTCTAGGTTCTACACTGCCCGTGCGCCCAACCTATCGCATGAGAACCGCTGAACTTTTGGAGCTCCGACGTCAACTCGATGACCTTTTCGAGAAGGGTTTCATCCGCCCAAGCACCTCACCATACGCTGCCCCCGTGCTTTTCACCCGCAAGAAGGAAGGTGACCTGCGCCTTTGCATCGACTACCGCGCCCTCAACGCCATCACAATCAAGAATAAGTACCCGCTGCCCCGTGTCGAGGAGTTGTTCGACATGCTTGGGGAAGCAACAGTTTTCAGCAAGCTCGACCTATGCTCCGGTTACCACCAGATCCGGCTCGCCGAAGACGACATCAACAAGACGGCGTTTCGAACCCGCTACGGCCACTTCGAGTTCCGCGTACTTCCGTTCGGCCTCACCAACGCACCAGCCACGTTCATGGGACTCATGAACGACATTTTTCGGCCCTTCCTCGACCGCTTTTTCATCGTGTTCCTCGATGACATCCCCATTTTCAGCTATTCACTCGTGGAACACGCTCAGCACCTACGCATCATCCTCGACACGCTTCGCCAACACCGCCTCTACGCCAAGCTCTCCAAGTGCACCTTCGCCCGTTCAAGCATCGGCTTTCTCGGCCATGTCATCAGCTCCAAAGGCATTGCTATGGACCCCACAAAGGTCCAGTGCCTTGCTGATTGGCCAGCCCCACGCACGGTAGCGGAGTTGCAAAGTTTCATCGGCCTTGCCAAGTATTACCGGAAATTCATTTTCAACTTCTCTCACATCTGCGCCCCTTTGACCGATCTCTTCCGTCAAGGAGCTGCCTTTCAATGGGGACTACCGCAGCAGACCGCTTTCAACTCAATCAAATCAGCACTCACCTCTGCACCGGTCCTCATCGTCGCCGACCCTTCACGCCCATACTTCATATGGACCGATGCTTCCGATGTCGCTGTTGGTGCCATTCTTTGCCAAGACCACGGCCATGGGATGCAGCCACTCGCTTTCGAGTCACGCAAGCTTCAACCGGCAGAGCGCAACTACGCAACACACGATCAGGAGCTCCTTGCCATTGTCCACGCAATCAAGACATGGCGCTGTTACGTGGAGCTGCAGCCCGTCACCGTCTACACCGACCACCGCCCTCTTCAACACTTGAAAACACAGCCCGTGCTCAGCCGCCGCCAAGCCCGATGGGCTGAGGTTTTGGAGCAGTTTGTACCCTCACTTCAGATTATCTACCGCCCCGGAAAACTCAACCCAGCCGACATCCCAACCCGCGCCTACAAACGTGACCTGTTTTTTGTCAAGCAAGCACCCGAGGACCCGACCTACTCATTTGAAGACCCATTTTGGTACAACACCGTCACCAAGACCATTTGTGTCCTTGCAGATCGCTCCTTACGACAGCTGCTACTCTCCGAATACCACGACACCGTTACCGGCAGCCACTTAGGTATTGAGAAGACCTACGCACGCCTCTCCAATGACTACCATTGGCCACACATGCATGCTGATGTGCGTGACTTCATACGCACCTGCCGCACCCGCCAACAACTCAAAGCACGCACCACCAACCGCTACGGACTCCTTCAGCCCATCCCTCCACCTACCAAAGTGTGGGATGAAGTCACCATGGACTTCATCATGGATCTGCCCCGCACACCCCGCAGCTACAACGCTATCCTAGTCGTCGTCGACCGACTCTCCAAAATGAGCCACTTCATTCCTACCCACACAACCGTCACCGCACCCGAAACAGCCAGACTCTTCTTCGATCACATAGTCCGCCTACATGGTCTCCCATCCGCCATCATTTCAGACCGTGACCCCCGCTTCTTGAGTAACTTTTGGCAGAGCCTCTTCAAGCTTCACGGAACCCAACTGGAGTTTTCTACCGCGTATCACCCTGAAACGGGCGGACAAACCGAATGGATGAACCGCACGCTTGAAGACTCCCTCTGTGCACAAGTTACTGCTCGCCAAACTGATCGGGATCTCCACCTCACCGCCATCGAACTCGCATACAACAGCACACCCCACCTTTCTACCGGCCAGCCACCCTTCTACCTCGCAACCGGACAGCACCCCCGCCTCCCCACGACCCCTACCCCCCACCTCTCCCACGCACCAGCAGCCTTTGAGTTCCTCACCTCACTCGAATCAGCCATTGATGCCGCTCGCACCTCCATCCTTAAAGCTCAAGCCAAACAGACCCACTATGCCAACTCCTACCGCAAATATATACGCTTCAAGGTTGGCGATCAAGTGTTACTCTCCACTGACCACCTACCTCTCCTACGCAAAGGCACAACCAGAAAACTCGCCCCTCGCTTTATTGGCCCGTTCCCCATCACCCGAGTCCTCTCACCAGTCACCTACCGTCTCCAACTGCCCAGCTATTTGAAGATTCACCCCATCTTCCATGTCCAGCGCCTCCGCCCTTTCCGTGCACCTTCACACGACCGTCCAGCCACACGCCAACTGCCACCGATGTTCGAAGGCAGCCCGGGCCTGTTTGAGGTTGCATCTATCGCTGCACATCGCGACACACCTCATGGTCGCGAGTTTCTTGTTCATCGGAAGGACCAGCCCACTAGTGACGACTCATGGGAATCAGAGAGCCACCTTGACCGTGCCGCAACAGCTGTGAATCGGTATTTGACCAGCCACGGTTTGGCGCCATGGACGGCGCCACTTGGAGGGGGAAGTAATGTAACAGTGTGGCAGCCGATGCTGTCAAGTACAGTGCATGTGGGCGGAAGTCAAGCGCCACCTCACCAACTGTTCGTATTGGTCAAACGCCTCAACCTGCAGCTGGGTGACCAGGTCCTGACGCGCAGCCCAACACAAACCCTCGCGCGAAAATTACGAAACGCAGAACACCGAAGTTCCGACCGCTCGCCGACTTCGCCAACAACACCGACGAAATTACAGCCCCGTAACCAAGCTCGCCGTCCAATCCCGTACCGCAATAATTCTCTGAATTTCACGGCAGGTTCATTTCAAAGGGGTTGGGTTACCATTGAGAAATTCAGAGAGAGTCGCGACTTGGGAGTGCGACTCGATATTTGAATGTGCTCTATAAAATTGTATCTAAAAAATTGTTCTGTGAAATTTGTGAAGTCATAGTGCAATTTCCAGAGAACTCCAGAGAGCACTCTATCCTCGTTTTCCTAGCCTCCTAAGCCTGCTACTTCCTTGCTAGTAACGTTTCAGTTGGTGTCATTCAATGCCCGTCTTAGCGTAGTTGTCTTGCCAAGTCGTCGAGGGCCCTTGCTGTCGAAGGGCCCTCTAACATTTTGAGCTGGCGAAAGAGCGAGGGTCGGTTGGCGAGGTTGCGAGGCAGGAAGGTTACTCGCCCGGCTTGAGACGGACACAATCGATTCCAACATCAGAGATCAATTCTGCCGTCATTGACGGACTCCAATAACGAAATTGAACGGACTCCAATAACGAAATTGAATGGACTCCAATCAACAGCGACTCCCCCTCCTCCAACAGCCGTTCGGTGGTCTTGACGCCGTCAGCAGCGGCAATGACGCAAGATAGCGGTAGTGGTGGTATCGGTGGTGTTGGAGGAGCGGGATCCGTTCCGAACGTGAGTCAGGAGCCATGCCGGAAGTTACTCCTTGTCATCGACACAGACGGCTGCAATGGCGACAGCAGCAGCAACGGAAACAGCAGCGAGATTCGCAGCAGCAGCAGCAGCACCAACGGCAGCAGCATTTCGCGGCCATTGGTTGTGGATTCTCTCCCCCCATGGCATCGGTTCCTCTCCCTCTGCTCCTCGCTTCCCTCCTCCCGTCCCTCCTCTCTTTCCTCCTCCATACCTGTCCCCCTCGCCTCCACCTATCTCTCCCCTCATCCCTCCATCCATCCCTCCTCTCCTCGCCTTTCCGCCCCTCATTCCATCAAACCCTGTGATTGGCCAGCCTCGCCTCTGGAAGCTTACATGGCGCTGTCCAAGCTGGCAGCCGCTGATTGGTGGAGACGAGTGGAGGTAGTTTTCCTGGCAGAAAGTGGTGGGAAGGAGGCGGAAGGGGAGGGGAAGGCGGAAAGTAGGAGGGCGGATGGGGAGAGGGCGGAGGAGGGGAGGGAGGAAGGGGAGGGAAGGGCGGAAGGGGAGGGAAGGGTGGAAGAGGAGAGGCTGGAAGGGGAGGGGAAGTCGGAGAGGGAGGGGCCGATGGAGAGGGGGCAAGGAGGCGCTACACTTAGAGTGGAAAGCTCTGGCGAAGGGCATTCAGAAAGGGAACGTGTAGAAGGGCATTTGGGGGAGAAGAATGCAGAAAAGGAGCACCAGCATCAGCACCAGGTGCAGAAGCAGCAGCAGCAGCAGCAGCAGCAGCAGCAGCAGCAGCAGCAGCAGCAGCAGCAGCAGCAGCAGCAGCAGCAGCAGCAGCAGCAGCAGCAGCAGCAGCAGCAGCAGCAGCAGCAGCAGCAGCAGCAGCAGCAGTTAGATAGGCAGAGGGAGGGGGAGAAGCAGCAAGAAGGTTTGGGTACAGAGGCCGGTCAGAAACCCCACCAGAACCCATTGAATATGCTTGCTATCATGTGCTACAAACGAGGGGATCATCCAGACAAGGTACGCTGTGTGGAGTTGCTTGTGAGAGCTCTCAAAGGGTACGCTGTGTAGGGCCCATGTTGCCATGCTGCTGGGCTGTCAGAGTCATTATGCGAGTGCAGGTCTTTTTGAGTCAACTCAAAGGTCACGATTAACATTCACCTCGTCTCCTGGCATCGGAGGAGTAATGACGATCTTTGTCACATTACTCTTCCTTCATCGCCTCGTCGCATGCTTCCATCTTCTCTGCTGCGATCGTTCCTCGGCTGCTGTCCCCCGCTTTGCCTCACCCACCCACCCACCCACCCACCCACCCACCCACCCACCCACCCACCCACACACTATCTTTGCCCCACCCACCCACCCACACACTATCTTTGCCCCACCCACCCACCCACACACTATCTTTGCCCCACCCACCCAACCACCCACACACTATCTTTCCCTGTTTTTTTTACACTCTCGTTCTCTCTCGTTGCAGCCTGAAGTGGTCGTTCCTGTGAGCGCATCGCAAGAGCTAACGCCTGCGTGGTACGTGGCTTTTGAGTCATCTTACACCAATCGCTATGCATGTCATTACACTAATCATTCTGCGTGTTATTGAACTCGTCAGTACACAAAGGTCCCTCACAACACATGGGACTTCATCAGAGTCACTTTTTGAGAGCTCTCAAAAGAATCTCCAAGTTCATCGTACGGCACTGTACGCCATTTCTCCCAATCCCGTTTCCTCTCGCTCTCACCCTCTAGCATGGCGTGTTAACCTGTATTTGACTCCCAATTCCTGCATCAACATAGGGTGAAAAAGGGGGGAAAAACGCCTTCTCCCCCTGGATGTTCTCTCTCTTACGTGCAACAAACCCTGCTACCAGGCTCTCTCAGGTTGTCAGGCTCGCCGGCACCCCACTCCCCACGAGCAGCAGCCATAGTCCTGAGTCGCCTCAAGAAAGAATCAATGATTCTCCACTACTCATGGGCAGCAACAGTGATCTTGAGCCGCCTAAAGAAAGGATCACCAGTACCCCACTCGCCAAGACTGGCAGCAGCAGCAGCAGCAGCAGTGGTGTACAAAACGTGCCCAGTTGTTCCTCCAAGGGGCAGGAAGTCTCATTCTACTCGACTGAGGGCGAACAGTTTCCAGGCCGGGCAGTGAGGTTTGCTGTTGTGGACCAGTTTGGGCTCATGGTGATTCTCCGCATGTTTGACCATGTCAACATCAGCTCATGATGGTATGTTTTTTACTGAGCCGCCTTAGCGATTTCCCCATTGGGCAGTGAGGCTTGCTGTTGTGGGCCAGTTTGGGCTCATGGTGATTCTCCGCGTGTTCGACCATGTCAACATCAGCTCATAACGCCTGTTGCAACATCATGTTACGAATTATCCTCCCCTACATTATTAGCTAGCGCCAATGTGTTGATGACCACTAAGTGGTGAGCTTACTGCATTAGCGTCTACACAGGGCACACACAATACCTGGCATCTGTTCCTAGGTTTTCTTATCACTTCCAGGGTTCTCATCTGAGTCCCATAGGTCATCCTCCTCCTCATGTTGAGCGCCCACATTCTCCACTTCCCTCCCCGCACAAGCATACTCATCATCCTCTATTACTTCTCCTCTCACTCCCTTCCTCTCAACTTTGCTTCCCCCCTTCCCTTCCCATCCTTTTAGCTGCTCCCTTATCCATTTCAACACCCCTTGAAACCCCAAGCTGGAACCCTGGCCCACGGGCAGTTGGGAGTACGCAATCCCAAAACACCCCAGCTTTCTCTGGGCAAGCTCGAGTGGCGCTCTCGGGGTCCGGGCAGGGTAAAGATGTGCGAAAGAGGATCCAGGAGCCAGCAGGACAGAATACTGTAGCAGCTCTGGCGTGTAGTGTCTTTCCAATTCCTCTCTTTGCCTCTCCCGCAGCTTTCTGGCTTGGGTTTTATTGACAGTGGTGGTGTTGGTGGGTGCAGCAGGGACCCAAGGCAGCAGCAGCAGATCAGCTTGCATCCATGCCGGAACCTGGAAGGACAAGCAGGAGAAATGAAGGATAAGAGAACAAGGAAATCACCAAAAGAGATTTATTTGTCACAGAGGAAGAGGTGGTGTTGGTGGGACAAGCAGAGACCCATGGCAGCAGCACCAGATCGGCTCGCATCCAAAACAAGAAACAGGAGATGATTGACAGACGAGGAAATCGGTGCATGGGGAACTGAGTGAACAGCAACAGTGAGTGACTCTTACATTCGACGCTCCGGACGGAGAGAAGCTGAAGGAAGTGTGGTGGAGAGAGTGGTGTGGCAGGGCTGACGTATTGAGTTGATTTTTGAGGCGCCTCCAAATTCAACTCAAGTTGAAGAAAGTGTGGTGGAGAGAGTGGTGTAGCGGGGCTGAGGCAAATCAAGAGTGTGTAGGGTCGGCGTTAAGGCACTGAGCTGATCGGTGCATGGATCATTGTGCTCTTGTGCTTGCACCACTTCACGTGATTGAGAGAGTGGTGGAGAGAGTGGTGTGAAGGGGCTGACGTGAATCAAGATTGTGTAGGGTCAGCGGCGTTTAGGCACTGACGTGATCGGTGCATGGATCATTGTGCTCTTGTGCTGGCACCACTTCACAGGGGAGATGAGCGCGGGAGCACCCCGCTTGCATTGCAAGAGTGTGTAGGGCCGGCGTTAAGGCACTGAGCTGATCGGTGCATGGATCATTGTGCTCTTGTGCTTGCACCACTTCACAGGAAATGACTGTCTTGGGTTGCGTGATATGTGCTTGCAGTGGCATGTGAGCTGTGTTAAGGCACTGACGTGATCGGTGCATGGATCATTGTGCTCTTGTGCTTGCACCACTTCACAAGGCAGACGTGCACGGGAGCACTCCTTGTGCAGGGCGGCAGTCAGGTTGGTCCTTTTGAGATGCGTAGAAACAGCATCTCAGAACTGACCTGATCGGTGCATGGGTCATCACCCTCCTGTGCTTGCACCACCTCACAGGGCAGATGTGCACGGGAGCACTCCTTGTGCAGGGCAGCAGTCAGGTTGGCGGGGTGCAAGGGGGGCGGCATGTGTTGTCTCCATGCGGCGTCTGAACCCGCAATGAGGATGGTTAGAGAGGAGCGGATGGGCGGCTGGAGACTGAGAGAGGGGGAGAGGGGAGCGGGGGGTGTAGGGGGTACGGAGAGGGGGCAGGTGGAAGGGGGAAGAAAGAGGTGCAGAGGGTTGACACGAGGATGGTTAGAGAGGAGCGGACGGGCGGCTGGAGACTGAGGTGGGGAGAGGGGGGGGAGGAGAAGTGGGGGAAAGAGGAAGAGGGGGGGGAAAGAGGAAGAGGGAGCATGAGAGAGGGTTAGACATGAGGATGGTTAGAGAGGAGCGGACGGGCGGCTGGAGACTGAGAGGTGGGGAGAGTCAGAAGAGGGGAAAGGGCAGCAAAGTATGGAGGAGGGAAAAAACGTGGGGAGGAAAAAAAACGAAGGAGAGGTGAGAAAAAAGATAAGGAGCCGAAGGGGGTGGAAGGGGGTGGAAGAGGGTGGAAGGGGGTGGAAGGGGGTGGAAGGGGGAAGAAAGAGGTGGAGTAAAGGGGGAGGGGAAGAAACAAACGGAGGGGAAGAAAAGAGGGGAGGGGAAGAAAACCGGGGAGGGGAAGAAAAGAGGGGAGGGGAAAGAGAAGACAAAAACTGGATGAGGTTAAGGGAGAACCGATGGCATCATTCCAGCATGCATGGTGACACACGGCATCATTCCAGCATGCATGGTGACACACGGCATCATTCCAGCATGCATGGTGACACACGGCATCATTCCAGCATGCATGGTGACACACGGCATCATTCCAGCATGCATGGTGACACACGGCATCATTCCAGCATGCATGGTGACACACGGCATCATTCCAGCATGCATGGTGACACACGGCATCATTCCAGCATGCATGGTGACACACGGCATCATTCCAGCATGCATGGTGACACACGGCCTCATTCCAGCATGCATGGTGACACACGGCATCATTCCAGCATGCATGGTGACACACGGCATCATTCCAGCATGCATGGTGACACACGGCCTCATTCCAGCATGCATGGTGACACACGGCATCATTCCAGCATGCATGGTGACACACGGCATCATTCCAGCATGCATGGTGACACACGGCATCATTCCAGCATGCATGGTGACACACGGCATCATTCCAGCATGCATGGTGACACACGGCATCATTCCAGCATGCATGGTGACACACGGCATCATTCCAGCATGCATGGTGACACACGGCCTCATTCCAGCATGCATGGTGACACACGGCATCATTCCAGCATGCATGGTGACACACGGCATCATTCCAGCATGCATGGTGACACACGGCCTCATTCCAGCATGCATGGTGACACACGGCATCATTCCAGCATGCATGGTGACACACGGCCTCATTCCAGCATGCATGGTGACACACGGCATCATTCCAGCATGCATGGTGACACACGGCATCATTCCAGCATGCATGGTGACACACGGCATCATTCCAGCATGCATGGTGACACACGGCCTCATTCCAGCATGCATGGTGACACACGGCATCATTCCAGCATGCATGGTGACACACGGCCTCATTCCAGCATGCATGGTGACACACGGCCTCATTCCAGCATGCATGGTGACACACGGCCTCATTCCAGCATGCATGGTGACACACGGCCCTCACAGTCCGATCGTTAAGGTTCTTCAAAAATATTGAGCGTTATTGAGGGGTCAATATCTATCTTCCTACCAGCCTTTCTTGGATGGCATATGCACATACCGGCATGTATGGCGTAGGGCTGATCGGACAATGGCTGCACGGCTGTCACAGCCAAGCCCTGTATCAGCATCCCCACTGCCACTGCTGCTGCCGCCACCTCTGCCGCCACCACCATCAACACTGCTGCTCCGCTGCTCCTTAGCTATGGCAGAGGCTGCAGCGTGCTCTGAATGTTCGAGATTATCATCACCAGCAGCAGCAGGCAGCACGGGATCTCGCAGCAGCACCACGCGATCAAAACACACCACTGAAGAACTGGTGTCAGCAGTAGAGGCTTTGGCAGCAGTGCTGGTGGCAGTGGCCGTGGTGGTGGTGGCGGGCGGAGCAAATGGAGGAAAGGCGGCATCTCCAAGGGTGGCCTTGAGTAGCAGCGATGCCCATGGGGAGGCGTGGGGCAGCTGGGAGGGAGAAGGGGGGGGTGAAGCAAATGGGAGGGAAGGAGAGGGACGGAAGGGGAAAGGGGCGATTGGGAGCAAATGACTTATAGCCCTTGGGGAGACGTGGGGCAGCTTGGAGAGGGGGTAAGGGTGGGAGGGAGAGGGGAATTGGAGCAGGGGGGAGGGGCTGAAGGGTAAGCAGGGGGGAGGGGCTGAAGGGTAAGCAGGGGGGAGGGGCTGAAGGGCAAGCAGGGGGGAGGGGCTGAAGGGCAATGCACGATTGAGGGCAAAGGGAGGGAAGGCGGCGTCTCCACCCGTGGGGAGGCGTGGAGCAAGCAGGGAGCAGCTGGGATGGGGTTGAAGGTGAGCAGGGAGAACGGGCGGAGAAAGAGGGACGGGGGGTATGCGGTGCCTATCCAGGAGAAGAAAGAAAGGCCTGTTTTTGAGTCGAATCAAAAAGAGGCAGAAAGGAGACAAATAGCCATTTCCAAAAATTTCCAAGGGGAGTATGTTTACTCACTGCTGATTGCAGTCTATCCCCGTGGAAGAGCAGTAGACGGGAGGGAGCAAAGCACCCTTCGGACCTCCTCCACGCGGCTAATCTCGCTGCCAGATGGAACACTGCAAACGGATCGTCAAACCCTAGCAGCGCCCCCAGACCTGCATCCGCCCCCTTGTGTGTGATATCATCATTCTCTGTGCTGCTGCTTGTGCTTGTGATGGTGGTGGAGGGAGTGGAGGCGAAGACAGTGGTTCCGGAGAGGTGGAGTGCGGTGACAGGGGATGAGATGGCTTCGGAGAGAGAGAGCTCCACTGCTGGTTCGGACTCCTCAGCTACCTGTGACGGGATGAAAGGATGAGCAGGGCGGGAAGAGGAAGGGCTGGGATGTGTGAGTGTGCATGCGGGTTAGAGTGCGTGCATGTGTGCGTGCATGTGTGCGTGCATGTGTGCGTGCATGTGTGCGTGCATGTGTGCGTGCATGTGTGCGTGCATGTGTGCGTGCATGCACATACGCGTGCGCTGAGAATGGCCGGCACGGGTAACAGCCAGCATGAGCAGGTGGTTTGAAGCACTCATTCGCAGGCACACGGCGTGCTTGCGAGCAGCAGCACTGCGAATGGGCAGCACGTGCGGGTGGTGGGTGCTCTCCAAGGTGGGCAGGAAGGAAGGCAGGCTAAGTGGGTCTGATAACTATGCCTGTTAGAAGCTGCTGGGTGGCCTAGAGGACTCACCCACAGGCACACGGCGTGCTTGCGAGCAGCAACACTGGGACTGGGCAGCACGCGCCCCTACCTCAAGCCAATGGGAATGGGCAGCACGCGCGGGTGGGAGCACTCCAAAGGAGGAAGAAAGGAATTCCCGGTCTAGACTGAGCGGGTTTGACAACTCACCCTGTGAGGTTGCTGCCTAGATTACTCACCCGCAGGCACACGGCATGCTTGGGAGCAGCATCCCCCGGAGCAGAGAGCACGCGCGTTTGGGTGCTCTCTAAGCCGGGGGAGGAAGCGGCGGTCAAGGCTACTCACCGGGACAACAAACAACAACAGCAAAGCAGGTTCTATCTGGCTCTTCCAGACTCACCCGCAGGCACACGGCATGCTTGGGAGCAGCATCCCCCGGAGCAGAGAGCACGCGCGTTTGGGTGCTCTCTAAGCCGGGGAGGAAGCGGTGGTCAAGGCTACTCACCGGGACAACAAACAACAACAGCAAAGCAGGTTCTATCTGGCTCTTCCAGACTCACCCGCAGGCACACGGCATGCTTGGGAGCAGCATCCCCCGGAGCAGAGAGCACGCGCGTTTGGGTGCTCTCTAAGCCGGGGAGGAAGCGGTGGTCAAGGCTACTCACCGGGACAACAAACAACAACAGCAAAGCAGGTTCTATCTGGCTCTTCCAGACTCACCCGCAGGCACACGGCATGCTTGGGAGCAGCATCCCCCGGAGCAGAGAGCACGCGCGTTTGGGTGCTCTCTAAGCCGGGGAGGAAGCGGTGGTCAAGGCTACTCACCGGGACAACAAACAACAACAGCAAAGCAGGTTCTATCTGGCTCTTCCAGACTCACCCGCAGGAACACGGCATGCTTGGGAGCAGCATCCCCCGGAGCAGAGAGCACGCGCGTTTGGGTGCTCTCTAAGCCGGGGAGGAAGCGGTGGTCAAGGCTACTCACCGGGACAACAAACAACAACAGCAAAGCAGGTTCTATCTGGCTCTTCCAGACTCACCCGCAGGCACACGGCATGCTTGGGAGCAGCATCCCCCGGAGCAGAGAGCACGCGCGTTTGGGTGCTCTCTAAGCCGGGGAGGAAGCGGTGGTCAAGGCTACTCACCGGGACAACAAACAACAACAGCAAAGCAGGTTCTATCTGGCTCTTCCAGACTCACCCGCAGGCACACGGCATGCTTGGGAGCAGCATCCCCCGGAACAGAGAGCACACACGGGTGGGCGCTCCCCAAGAGGGGGGAGAAGGAGAGAAGCCAAGGTCTAAATTTTTGCGGGTTTGACAACTCACCCTGTTCTAGGCTGGGCGGGTTGGGAGTAGCTCAAAAGACTCACCCGTAGGCACACAGCGTGCTTGGGAGCAGCATCCCCGGGAACAGATAGCACGAGCGGGTGGGCACTATCCAAAGCAGGAAGGAAGCGGCGGTAACGGCGGGGAATGAGGTGGAGGAAGGTGGTTGGCAGGGATGCGTTGAGAATGGGGGAGAAGAGGAGGGGCGCCGGGGGCACACGAACCTTTGGCTCCTGGTTGGAAAAAAGAGGTGGAAAGAGTGGTGGAGGTAGGGGGAGGGGTGTGGAGGAGAGGAGAGGAGGGGAGAGTGAATGCGCGGAAAAGAGAGGCATTGAGGATGAGGGAGAACATTCGCGTTTTGAGTCGACTCAAAACTCGACTCATTACACGCGGAGGGGAGAGTGAATGCGCGGGAAAGAGAGTCATTGAGGATGGGGAGAAGATTCGCGGAGGGTGAGAGTAGAGAACGAAACTTGGTTTTCTACTTGGAGAGAGGCAGGAGAGAAGAAGAGAAAACATGTGCTCTTATAGCTGCACTGCTTTGAATTTTGAGGCGCCTCATAATTCAACTCAGTAGAGGCAGGACAGAAGAAGAGAAAACATGTGCTCTTACAGCTGCACTGCACTGCCCTTGCACACACTCACGTATATGTTCAAGTCCTTGTACATGACTGTGACTAGACATGAGCAACGGGCGAACACCAAACGTGTTTGCCCGAACGTCCCCGAACAGTATAATTGGGCGAACCGAACATGTTCTGTTCGCCAGAACATTATATTCACATTTCGCATGTTCGGTGTTTGGTTAGTGTGGGCAAAGATGTTTAAAGTTCGCCGAACCTCTACATGTTCGGCCAATTCCGAACATGTTTGGTGTTCGAAAATAAGGACTTAGCAGATTCACTGAGTTAACAGATTTCACCACTCCTGTTTCACGACTTGAAGTACAACACCTGCCCATACATGTTTAGGGGGTGGGAAACACGGGGAAAGAGGGCAGGGCGAGTGGGAAGAACGTATGTTACTTCAAAAAACGACTAACTAGCGACAAATTAACCTAAGTAACCGTTAAGTTGGGTCGAAATGTCCTCGATCTATGGTTTCCATAGGACTTACATCCAACCAGCGCGACAAATGTCGCGCTCGTTTTTTCTGAACATCTAATGTTTGGAAAAGCGGGGACGTTTCCCAAACATGTTTGGTGTTCGGGATTTGTCCCCATAAACATTTCGAACACCGAACATGTTCGGAACGAACCCCGAACATGTTCGGTTGAACCTTATTTCCAAAAAAGAAGGTTCGAACATGTTTGAAACGAACATGTTTGAAACGAACATGTTTGAAACGAACATGTTTGAAACGAACATGTTTGAAACGAACATGTTTGAAACGAACATGTTTGAAACGAACATGTTTGAAACGAACATGTTTGAAACGAACATGTTTGAAACGAACATGTTTGAAACGAACATGTTTGAAACGAACATGTTTGAAACGAACATGTTTGAAACGAACATGTTTGAAACGAACATGTTTGAAACGAACATGTTTGAAACGAACATGTTTGAAACGAACATGTTTGAAACGAACATGTTTGAAACGAACATGTTTGAAACGAACATGTTTGAAACGAACATGTTTGAAACGAACATGTTTGAAACGAACATGTTTGAAACGAACATGTTCGACCTGAACCTGTTTGAGGTTTGGAAAAGTGCTCATGTATAACTGTGACTGTGCTGGTGCTCTCGAGAGGGATAAAATGGAACCTAACTGTAGGACCTCTTATAGCTGCACTGAACACTGCTCACACTCACGTATATGTATGAGTCTTTATGCATGACTGTGACTGCATCGATTGTGCTCTTAAGAGGCATGAGACCCATGTGGGTTGCAAGGTCGTTGAGACACCTCCCCCTGTGGTGTAGGGTGGACGGTGGGCGGAAGAAAAGGCGGGGAAAGGAGAGGAGAGGGGGGGTGTGGTTTGGATGGAGGTACAAATGCGTTGGTTGTGTTGGGAGGGCGCAAAGAGCACTATTTGGCTTACAGACCAGAATAACAGTCGGCACTCAGGTACTTGGGTAGTGCGAATCATATCGGGAAGAGGCGCAGAGCAGACAGCTGAATGCAGCCAACACCTCAAATGGAAATTTCGGTTGAGTCGACTCGAACGGCGGAGCGCACACGCTTTAGAGCACAAATGGCATGGCGGACTGAAATTGGCATGTCAGCATATCACGTTCACATGTCACACACTCACATTGTCACACTCAGTCACATGTCACACTCACATGTCACTCTCACATGCCCCACTCACACGCCCCACTCACATGCCCCACTCACATGCCCCACTCACATGCCCCACTCACATGCCCACTCACATGCCCCACTCACATGCCCCACTCACATGGCCCACTTACATGGCAGGAGCAGGCGGCAAGGGGAAGGGCCCTTGGACCTCCTGTGTTGAGTCGTACACAGTCAGCGGTGACAGGTCAGACAGATGAGTCACCAACATGTTCATTGCCACATCAGCACACGCCCTAGCCGCCGGATTCCACAGACCGCCTTCACTCCCTCCCCCACTCCCTCCCTCACTCCCTCCTGCACCCTCTCCCCCACCCTCTCCCCCACCGTCTCCCTCGCTCCCCCACTCCAAATACCCCCTCGCCTCCTCCCTCATAGTGCAGCAAAAATAATGCAGGTAGTTTCTATGCAGCAGAAGAGCACCGGTAACCACTGAGTAGTCCCCTCCCGGCCCCAGGGAAGCATGCACGGCCAGTCGCCCTTTGAGGACGCCCTTGGAGAGGCGGAAGTGGGCGGACGGGAGGAAACCGAGGAGGCGGTTGGGGGTTTCCCGCCATCGCAGGAGAGATGTGGCGAGGAGAGCAGGGGGCACTAGGAATGTGTCGTCTATCACCAAGACAGCAGCTGTGGTGAGGGAGCTGACAGGGGAACGGGCAGAGAGAGAGACAGGAAGGGAGAAGGGAGCATGGGATAATCACCCAGGGTAGCATGCACGGCCAGTCTCCCAGTCAGTCGCCTTTTGAGGACGCCCTTGGAGAGGCGGAAGTGGGCTGAAGGGAGGAATCCGAGCAGGCGGTTGGGTGCTTCCCTCCATCGCAGGAGGGATGTGGCGAGGAGAGCAGCAGGGGGCACCAGAATGGTGTCATCAATTACAAGGACTGTCACTGTGGAGAGATGTCTGCTGGGAAAAGGGGTAGAGGGCGCAATAGGAGACAAGGGAAGTGGTAGTTGCGGAGAAAGAAGCGAGGCAGATGTGTGTGGAGCGGAGGTTTTTGAGGCGCCTCAAAAAGAGAGGTCTGCTGGGAAAAGGGTAGAGGGCGCAAGAGGAGACAAGGGAAGTGGTAGTTGCGGAGAAAGAAGAGCGGCAGAGGTGTGTGGAGTGGAGGGGATGAAGCCGAGGTAATCGGATTTTTGGGGGGGTGCACTCGTAGGCAGGATGGGTCTGAAGCAAGCAATTGCTGCTGGGTTGCCGAGTGGAAAAATAAACTTCTCTCTCTCCTTGCCCTGGAGGGAAGGGGCTGCTGCTGCTGCTACCACTGCTGCCATCGTTGTCGTATAAAACAGAGGATCATTCCATAACTTGTACTCACGGGATGGGTCGGAAGCGAGCAGTTGCTGGTGGGTTGCGGAGTGGGAGAACAACAACAGGCCTCTCGCCCTGCACCAGGGGAAAGGGGCTGCTGCTGGCGCTGCCACTGCTGCCACTGCTTTGGGCGAGTGGGCTGTCGTCAGACAGAAGGACGAAGATGTCTTGAACCACAGGCGCTGAGGCATAGTGGCGAATGGCTTGCATGGTCTGGTGTGTGCTGCTGCCTGTTGCTGTGAGCACCACGGTCAGCTTGTCGTAGCGCACACTGCAGGGGTGGGTGGGAATAGATAAACACGTGTATATGAAAGAGTTAGAGAAGCAGCAGGCGCTGAGGCGTATTGATGTGTGGCTTGCATGGTTTGGTGTGTGCTGCTGCCTGTTGCTGTGAGCACCACGGTCAGCTTGTCGTAGCGCACACTGCAGGGGTGGGAACAGATAAACACGTGTATATGAAAGAGTTAGAGAAGCAGCAGGATGGATGCTAGGACGGAATGATGGAATGATGCACATGTACGCATACATGCACATGTACGTATAAATGCACATGTACGTATAAATGCACATGTACGTATAAATGCACATGTACGTATAAATGCACATGTACGTATAAATGCACATGTACGTATAAATGCACATGTACGTATAAATGCACATGTACGTATAAATGCACATGTATGCACACATGAGCACACCTTAACTACACAAGCAGAAACAGAAACCTCGACACGATTCATCACTAGCCGAATCTTGAACGAGAAAGTTCAAGCAACTCCAAAAAATCGCCTGGCACTTGTCAGTCTTCCCTCTTGGCAAATGGAAGAAAGACGGGCATATTCACCGCTCGCCGCTCTCTAGTTATGAGGCGCCTGAAAACGAGACACTTGCAGCATCGCATCATGTGAAATGCGCACCTGCCATTGGTGGTCGCTCCCTCCTCTTGGCAGATGGAAGAAAGAGGGGTATATTCACCACCCGCCCCAAGGGTCTCAACTCCCCCATCCCCTTCCCCTGCTGCTGCATCCCTACCAGACAGCTCACTTGCGTCAGTGCTGCCACCATCTCCATTCCCAGCTGCTTTAGTGTTAGCCATGGCTTTTGTAAGAGCCTTCAGCATGTCATTGTGAGCAGCGAGCCAGATGTGGTCCAAGCTGCGAGTGGTGGGGAACTGGGGGGGGAGTGGGATTGAATGCGGTGGAGAGAGAATGAGTGCGGTGCCTTCACCAAGGGCCTTCAGGTTCAGGATGTTGTTGTGAGCAGCGAGCCAGATGTGGTCCAAGCTGCGAGTGGTGGGGAACTGGGCCAAGATAGTGGGGTGGAGAGCCATTCAATGCGGAGAAGAGGGGTGACAATGTGTGCAACAAGCCAGCTATTGCGCTACTTGTTTTTCTGATTTCCCCACCAAAAAAAGTGCCGTGCCCTGCAGTACTGTCACCTCCGTTTACCCACTTTGTTAAGTTAAAACCACTCCTGTTATAGTAACCTGCCTGCTCGTCCTCCTTGGTGTTCCAAGGCTTGGTGCTGCCCGAGAAGTGCAGCACCCTCAGCTCAGCTGTGGCTGCGCAGATCACTCCCACCCCCCTCCAATCCCTCCAATCTCTTCCCACCCCATCGTTCCCTTCCCAGGCTGCCACCCACCCACTCCATTTCCAGTTGTGATACACGCTCACTCCCCTCTTAACCACTTTCAGTATAGTCACCTGCCTGCTTGTCCTCCATGGTGTTCCAAGGCTTGGTGCTCCCCGAGAAGTGCAGCACCCTCAGCTGCGGCTGCACAAACTTCTCCCACCCCTCCCACCCGCTGAGGCGCACGAGCGGGTTGAAGGCGTAGGGCAGGTGGTGGGAGGGGCCTTGGGAATACCAGTCGGAAAAGTAGTTGTTGAGAAAGCCCTGATCGCCCACGTTGGGTGACTTGGTGGTGGCGACCTGCGTAGGAGGAGAACGGGGAGCAGTGGGGAGAGAAGCAGAGTCAGGGGACGGGCTGAGGCGAAAAAGTGGGTTGACGGCGTAGGGCAGGTGGTGGGAGGGACCCTGAGAGTACCAGTCGGAAAAGTAGTTGTTGAGCAAGCCCTGATCGCCCACGTTGGGTGACTTGGTTGTTGCTACCTGAGAGGGGGGATGGAGAACGGAGAAAGGCAGGTGGGGGAGGAAGGGATAGTGGAGGAAATGGGGTGGAAAACATATTCGAGTGACGTTTGAGAATTCTCAAAAGTCACTCGAAGGGGTAGTGGAGGAAATGGGGTGGTAAACAAGGGGAAGGGAGGGAGGGAAGTGCAACACCCTGAGCTGCGGCGGCTGCACGAACCGCTTCTGAGGTGACTCAAAAACTGCTCCCACTCGTCCCACCATCCCTTTGGCTCACTCACTTACACCTCACATTACTCAGCACATTCCTAAACGTGCCGTCACTCGGGGCCACCACCATCAGTCGACTGTTGGAGCGGTCAGGAGGGATGGTGTCCGGTGAACTGACTTTTGAGTCAACTCAAAAGTCAGTCGACTGTTGGAGCGGTCAGGAGGGATGGTGTCCGGTGCAGCAGAGAGCTCATTCCTGCTTACTTCTACTCTACCCCCATATACCTTTCTTTCACCTCTCCTCACCTTACTCAGCATATCCCTCAACATGTCGTCACTCGGCGCCACCACCATGAGCCCACTATTGAAGCGGTCAGGAGGGATGGTGTCCGGTGCAGCAGAGAGCTCACTTTACTGCTTGCTTACGCACCTTACTCAGCATATCCCTGAGAGTGTCATCATTAGGAGCCACCACCACCAAACCAAGCCATTGTTGGAGCGGTCAGAAAGGGGATGGTGTCTGGCGCAGCAGAAAGCTCATTCCTTCTACCCCCTCCCCTTCCCCATACCTTTCCCTCCCACCTTACTTAGCATGTCTCTGAACGTATCGTCACTAGGCGCCACCACCATCAAGCCACTGTTGAAGCGGTCAGGAGGGATGGTGTCCGGTGCAGCAGATAGCTCATCACTTACACCCCTTTTCCCTATACACATGCCTTCCCGCACCACCCACCTTGCTCAGCATGTCTCTGAACGTGTCGTCACTGGGCGCCACCACCATCAAGCCACTGTTGAAGCGGTCAGGAGGGATGGTGTCCGGTGCAGCCGAGAGCTCATCGCGGCAGAAGAGGTCGTCGAGGCTGCTCATTACAAGAAGGTCCGCATCGACATAGACCAAGCGGTGGTACTCCGTGAGCGTCCACATCCACAGCTTGGAATACCTGACGGGAGAGGGAAAAGAGGAGGAGAAGGTAGGGAGGAGAGGGATGGGTGGAGGGATACAGCAGAGAGCTCATCGCGGGAGAAGAGGCCGTCCAGGCTGCTCAATACGAGCAGGTCCGCATCGACGTAGACGAGACGTCAGTGTGGTATTCCAAGCTGTTGATGTGAGAGTCCACATCAACAGCTTGGAATACCTGATGGAAGGGGGGGTGGGGTGGGGTGGAGAAGGGAGGAAGTGGGGGTTTGGGGGCTGGGCTGGCACGGCGCTTAACCCACATGGAAATGATTATCAGTGATATCGCAACTTGCTCTGCAATGCTCAACTACGGTTTGTTCCTTTGGAGCCTAAGTATAAACAGTGAGATCGCCTGAGGATAGGATGCAGGGGACGAAACGTCACCTCGTCAGTATCTACCGAAAATCGCCTCTCCCACCCACCCACCCACCTGCACGGCTTGTTGATGGCGAATCTGTTGGGAGTAGCAGGAAACGGGTACCGAATGGCCTCTTCAATCTGCTTCACCCTAGCTCCCAGCAGCTGCAGCCGCATCGCAGTGCCGTCACTCACGTTCATCGTCAGCACCACCACGTCGTGCAGCGTGCCCGTGCGCGATGGGGTGCAAGGGGGAACCATTCCACTCCCCAATATCTACCAAAAAACGCCTCTCCCACTCCACCCACCTGCACGGTTTGTTGATGGCGACTCGGTTCGGAGTGGCTGGAAAGGGATAAGGAATGGCCTCCTCGATCTGCTTCACCCTCGCTCCCAGCAGCTGCAGCTGCGCCGCCGTCACCTCGCTCACGTTCATCGTCAGCACCACCACGTCGTGCGGCGTGCCAGTGCGCTTCAGCGAATGCACCAGCACCAGGGCTCCCGGCGCCATGACGTCATCGCAGAGGAGCGTGACGTAAGCGTAGCGAAGGGTGGACGGATCGCGACTGAGAAGGGCCGCTTCGCGTCTCCTGTTTAACTCCTGAAGCTTCTTTCTCTCCCTCAGCTGCTCTCTCTCCCTAGCTTCCTCCTCAGTCTCCTCTGACTCTTCCGTCCCCTCCCCCTCCTCCTCATCCTCCCCTTTATTCCCTCTACCTTCCACCTCCGTGGATTTCTCGCTCCTTCCTCTGCTCTCCTCCGAGTCAAATCCATATCCATTCCTGCTGCTGCCGTCGCTGCTGCTGCTGGCTTCGGTGCCGTTTTGGCTCCGTAGTCTGTGAATGTGACAGTAAGGAGCCTGGTCGACAGGAGGGGGTGCTGGTGTGAACACGGAACGCCATAGTAAAGTCGCTAGGCTTGTGACAATACCGGGGTGTGACTCTACCTGCCGTTTGGACTGCTGAGCCGCCGTAGAGTCGTAACTGGTAGTTATCTCCGCCTGGTTGTTAAACTGCTGTTTTCGCCGCTGCTCCTCCTGAAACTTACGCCTTCCCCTCGCATCATGATTAAACTCCTCCGAATACAGCGCATTCTCGTTATAATATCTCCCGCTTCCTGCATTTGCGTAAGTACTCCTTGTCGTCTGTCCCCTCTCCTGCCACCCAAACCCTCTCCCATACGCACCCCTACCCTGACCGTCCGATTCTGCGAAGAACTGTGATCGAACGTACGGTCCAGATTCCACATACGGTTCCCAACGTGGGCCTGCGATGCCTTGGAAGAGGAGAATGACGATGCAGACCGCTCCGAACTTCCAGATGAGCTTCAGGTTTCGCACGCGCCTACCAAGCTTATCCGCGGAGAATAGGAGCCTTCTAGCTCGCCGCAGCGACTGCTTCTTAATGCTCAGGAGCCATCGCGACATCCCGACGACAACTACGGCGAACACGTGAAGCCATAATCATGTCACTTTTAATAAAACATAGCTGTTCAAATAACAAATCAAACTTTGCCCATCCGTTGTAGTCTAGTCGGTTAGGATATTCGGCTCTCACCCGAAAGACCCGGGTTCAAGTCCCGGCAACGGAAGTCTATTTCCCCCTTTTTGCCTGGCCGTAACACATTACGGTTCATTCACTGTTCAATGCGTCACGGTCCACTTTGAACCGTCTGTAACAGCTTTGCGCCATGACGGATGACAGGTACAATAGTGACTCATGAACGCGCTGACCCGCCCTTACCCCAGTGCTGCAATACAGCATCAGCTCGAAAATCAACATGGGGTTAATGTATACCGTATTACAAAAATAAAGGGAACACGAAGAACCGGTACTTGAAGCACCCGAGAGCAGCTAGGTAAGAAGGGCACTTCCGTTTTTACGCACTAGTCCTACCAAAATCTCTGACATTTCTATTTGACCGGCAGAGAATCAATAGTAGTCCGCACCGATACTGCGAGTCCGCCTCTGCTTCTGTGCGCCGGCTGTCTCCTGGTCTTGCTTCCTCATCATGGCTGCAAACTCCTCATAGTCAATCGTGCCGCTCTGGAAATACACACAAGAGCGAAGCCAAGGGCGTGCAGTGCACACACACATGCACATGAAAGAGAGTTAGGTTGCTGGTTTTATCTCCTGCTTTCGACTTAGGGCGTATTCCTACGGCCTCCTATCAAGATTGTACCTTTTGCCTGGTAAAAGTAGCGAGAGATTTTGGGTTTAGGGAATTTTCCAGTGAGAGCTTGATAGGAGGTTTTCTTGATAGGAGGATAGGAATACGCCCTTACACCTCATTATGGCTGCAATGCTCATCATTCCCAAACACATGAAACTTTCCCTCTAACCTGAACAAGTGTTCCTGCCCACCCATCAAACACAGGCTCTCTACTCCCGTCCCGTTCTCCCTCGCCCTCTCACCTTATCCGTGTCCACCTCCTCAATTGTATTCTCCAGTTCCCCTGGCTCCAGCATGTCCCCATTCACCTTGATCCCTTACAAATCTCTCCCCTCCACCGTCCGTAACACCCAACATACTGCATCATCCCTCACCTTATCCGTGTCCACCTCTTCAATGATCTGCTCCAGCTCGCCCGGCTCCAGCATGTCCTCATTCGCCAGGGCGTCCCTCAGCTCGCTCACTGTGATGAACCTGTCGTGGAAGAGGGAAAATTGTGCGGAGTCACAGGGTGTAACCATCAGGTGGTAACCAGAGAGCTGATGCATTATTTTCAAGACCTCCTCTCATCTACAATCGTGTAGCCTGCTGTGATTGCAGTTGCAGTGTTAGGGACCTCATAGATCTCTGAACTCATCTCACGCGCCCATCCGCTCTCCCATCTCACCCGCTCCCATCGCGGTCGAAGTGCTGGAAGGCCTTCCAGATGTGTTCCTCCTTCTCCACCTTGTTCATCTGCATCGTCGCTGTGATGAACTCCGTGTAGTCGATCGTGCCGCTGTGGTCCATGTCCGCCTGGGTGGGGAACGGAATGCACGCACGAAGAAAAGAGGGGACAGGAAGTGAGGTAAGTGGGAGTAGAAGGCCCAACAGCTTTAAGCATGCTGTGATGAACTCCGTGTGGTCGATCGTGCCGCTGTGGTTCATGTCCGCCTGGAAAGGAGGTGTGAAGAGGGGGATGGGAATAGAAGTGATGGGAGAACGGTGATCCACAACTCAGAACATACTGTGATGAACTCCGTGTAGTCGATCGTGCCACTGTGGTCCATGTCCGCCTGGGAGAGGAAGACGTGGACAGGGGAAGGTGTGGAGAGGGGTTAGGAGTGGTGTGAGAGGGTGTGATGAACTCCGTGTAGTCAATGATGCCGCTGTGGTCCATGTCCGCCTGCCACCCGATGGAAGATAGGAATGGGGAGTTTGGAGTGGTGTGAGAGGGAGGGCGTGATGGGATGTAATCCTCATTCTCGACCTTGCTCATCTGTTGCGTTGCCGTGATGAGCTCTGTGTAGTCGAGTCGGGGGACAAGGGGAAGGACAGGGGGAGTGGGGTTTTCCTCTTTGCTCCCTACCCCTCGCACCCATACAACCTCGCCCCACCACCCTGCCCTTCTCAATGTATCGCGTATCGCACCACCTATCCCATCCTCTCCCACATACCACCTGCATGATTTGATGCAGCTGCTCCTCAATCATGGGGTTACCCAGCTTCTGTCACCCTCGTCTTGTCCAAACCTCCCTCTCTTACCGCTTCCATGATCTGCTGAAGCTGCTCCTCCGACTTGGGGATACCCAGCTTCTGCACACCCTGCTTGCTGACCCATGTAGACTTGCATGCAACCTCACACCCCCGCCTTCCCCCTCTTACCGCTTCCATGATCTGCTGGAGCTGCTCCTCCGACATGGGGTTGCCCAGCTTCTGCATGCCCCATTCTTACTGCCCTTGTACCTCATCCCACCATCCCATCGCCCATTCTCACCGCTTCCATGATCTGCTGCAGCTGCTCCTCCGACATGGGGTTGCCCAGCTTCTGCATGCCGGTCTTGAGCTCAGCAAACGTGATGCTGCCGCTGCCGTCCTTGTCCATCCCCTTGAACAGCTTCTTCAGCCCCAGGATCTCCTCGCGACTCAGATTGCACGCAATGACCTGTAACGGGATAAATGGAAAATGGGCAAGAAGGTTAGTCAGAGGAGCAAGGGAGCCGTCCATGTCCATCCCCTTGAACAGCTTCTTCAGCCCCAGGATCTCCTCGCGGCTCAGGTTGCACGCAATCACTTGGATGGGAGGAGAACAGCAGCGAAGGCCAGGAACAGAGCACAATCAAGGACAGAACTTTGATCAACACGAAGAGTGTTCCAGGGATTCCATAGACTTTTCACCTAAGTCAGGTCCTCTGGCAGTCAGCAGCACTCATACTCACATGGCTCTCATACCACGACTCCCTTCACCTTGAGCGCCAGCTTCTTCATCTTGTTGGCAGCAGAGGACTTCTTGATTCGCTTCAGCTCCCAACAGCCAGTCACTGGTTCCTCCTGCGATTGAAGGTTTCTCACGTCGTTTTTTAGGTTTCTCAACCCTCTCACCTTGAGCGCCAGCTTCTTCATCTTGTTGGCCTCAGAATCTTTCTCAGTTGCCTCAGCTCCCAGCAGCCAGTTACTGGTTCCTAATACGACTGAAGGTTTCTCAAGTCATCTCTCACCTTGAGCGCAAGCTTCTTCATCTTGTTGGCCGCAGAGAACTTCTTGATTCGCTTCAGCACCGCCTCTCCCAGCGGCTTGTCGGACTGCTTCTCGTGGGACAGCCACGGGTGGCCTGATAGGTGGGGAAGGACGTGGGGAAGGAGGTGGGGGGAGAGGGGGGGAACTTTTGAGTCGACTCCAAAGCTTTTTGATTCACAGCACCGCCTCTCCCAGTGGCCGGTTGGACTGCTTCTTGTGGGAAAACCATGGGTGGCCTGACAGTGGGGGGAGGGGAAAATTGGGGTGGGAAAATCTCATGGTGCGTTTGGATGCGCAGAGCAGGGTCGGGGTGCAGCAGCATGCGCTTGACCAGGTCCTTGGCCGAGTACGACACCTGTGGCCAGGGGACCGCTGCAGCCCCACCATCCTCACCTAACCCTCCCTTCCCTTGACCACATACGCACGTGCTGCTTCACTCACGGAGCACGTCAGCAGAGGAGATGCGCTGGGCAGGGTCGGGGTGCAGCATGCGTTTCACGAGGTCCTTGGCCGAGTCCGACACCTGCGGCCAGGGGTCTGCTGCAGCCCCACCATACCATCCCATCCCAGCCTAAGCCTCTCTTTGGCCACATGTCAACCCTCCCTTCCCCTAACCACATATGCACGTGCTGCTTCACTCACGGAGCACGTCAGCGGAGGAGATGCGCACAGAAGGGTCGGGGTGCAGCATGCGCTTGACCAGGTCCTTGGCCGAGTCCGACACCTGTGGCCAGGGGTCCGCTGCAAAGTCGGGGGTGGCCTTGAGCACCTGGTGGAAGATCTGCTTCTCCGTGTCTTAAGGGGAGGGAAGGGGGGAGAGTGGGGAGTGGGAGGGGTGGGAGGTAGGGGCAGGGAAAAAGCAGTCAGAAAAGGAGGATAAGGGGTCCGCTGCCAAGTCTGGGGTGGCCTTGAGTACCCGGTGGAAAATCTGCTTCTCCGTGTCTGGTGGTGGGGGGAGGGAGGGGCAGGCAGAGGAAGAGCAGTCGTTACAGGGGAATAGGGGGTCCGCTGCAAAGTCAGGACTCGCCTTGAGCACCTGGTGGAAGATCTGCTTCTCCGTGTCTGGTGGTGGGGGGAGGGAGGGGCAGGCAGAGGAAGAGCAGTCGTTACAGGGGAATAGGGGGTCCGCTGCAAAGTTAGGACTCGCCTTGAGCACCTGGTGGAAGATCTGCTTCTCCGTGTCTGGTGGTGGGGGGAGGGAGGGGCAGGCAGAGGAAGAGCAGTCGTTACAGGGGAATAGGGGGTCCGCTGCAAAGTCAGGACTCGCCTTGAGCACCTGGTGGAAGATCTGCTTCTCCGTGTCTGGTGGTGGGGGGAGGGAGGGGCAGGCAGAGGAAGAGCAGTCGTTACAGGGGAATAGGGGGTCCGCTGCAAAGTCAGGACTCGCCTTGAGCACCTGGTGGAAGATCTGCTTCTCCGTGTCTGGTGGTGGGGGGGGAGGGGGAGATGGCAGAAAGTAGTGAGTGGGGAGGGGAGATGAGTGGGGAGGGCCAGGGGTCCGGTGCAAAGTCGGGATTCGCCTTGAGCACCTGATGGAAGATCTGCTTCTCCGTGTCTGGTTGGGGAGAACGATGGGGGGAGGAGGGAGGAGGGGAGTTGGGAGGGGTGGAAGGGAGGGAGAGGGAAATAGTACAGGGGGATAAGGGATCCGCTGCAAAGTCCGGGGTGGCCTTGAGGACCTGGTGGAAGATCTGCTTCTCCGTGTCTGGTGGGAGAAGGCGGGAGAGGGGATGGGGGGTAACGAGTGAGATAAGGGGTCCGCTGCAAAGGCTGGGGTGGAAGATCTGCTTCTCCATGTCTGGTGGGGAGGGATAGGGGGGAAGGGGGGAGGAGGACGGGAATGGGGGAGGGAGTGAGGTAGAGCAGTCAGTACAGGGGAATAGAGGGTCCGCAGAGCAGTCACTCACCTCCCCAGAAGGGCGGGGTGCCGCTGAGCAGGATGAAGAGAATGACTCCGCAGCTCCACACGTCACACGCCTTGTCATACTTCCCCTTGAGCACCTCGGGCGCCACATAGAACGCGCTCCCCACCGTCTCAGTAAACACCTCCCCCTCCTTGTAAAACGACGACAGCCCGAAATCCGCCACCTTCAGCGGCGCATCCTCCCTCCGGTCCGCGAGCAGAAAATTCTCGGGCTTTAAGTCCCGGTGAATGACATTATTCTGGTGGCAGTGGTCGACCACCCCCATCATGGTTTTGAATAACGCCGATGCCGCCCGCTCGCTGTAGTGGCCCCGGGCGGCGATGCGGTCGAAGAGTTCGCCGCCCGCGCAGAGCTCCATGACGATGTGCACGTTGTGCTTGTCCTCGAAGGCGCCCCTCAGCTGCACGATGTGCGGGTGGCCGCCCAGGTGGTGCATGATGGCGATCTCCTTCCTGGGAGGAATCAGGGAGAAGACGGGGGGGGGACAGGAGGGGTACGCCTCTGAAACTACAGGCATGGTAGATCCCTGGTGAAAGGGAGGAGAGGAGGAGAGGAGGAGAGGAGATGAGACGGGTGTGGATCTGTGTGTGAAAGGGAGTTCGCTGCCAGCGCAGAGCTCCTTGACGATGTGCACGTTGTGCTTGTGCACGAAGGCACCTCGGAGTTGCACGATGTGCAGGTGGCCGCCCAGATGATGCATGATGGCGATGGCGATCTCCTTCCTGGGAGGTGGCAGAGAAACAGGGGGGATAGGGACGGCAAGCAACAGGGAGGAATGGAGGCAAAGGGGAGGGGAAAAAAGGGGAAGGCGCCCCTCAGCTCAGCTGCACGATGTGCGGGTGCCAGATGATGCACGATGACGATCTCCTTCCTGAGAGAACACAGGGAGCGCAAGGAGATGCATGATGGAAGATGCAATGCTTCACAAATGCAATGCCATGCCCCACATGCAATGCCATGCATCTTTCTTCCTTGAAAGCTCTGAGCGTCCAAAGCCCTTCACGCAATCGCAGCCGTTCAATGTCCTACATCTGACGCGCACATTGCACCCACCTGATATCCTCAACCTCTTCTTTGGACCCAATCCGTCGCTTGGCGAGCGACTTGCACGCGAGCTGCTCGCCCGTGACCTTGTCCGTGCACAGGTAAGTCACGCCGAACTGCCCCTTGCCCAGCTCCTTCCCCATCAGAAACTTGTCGCGGATGTCAGCCGGCGGCCGGCCCAGGATGTTGGACGTCAGCGAGCTCTTCTTGCGGAGAAACATTGTGACCCTTTTTTTTTCTATCAATATAAGAAAATGTGTCTTTTTGTGACGCTCCTGTCACGCGTTGAAGTCCGGATCACGTTCGGACGGGAAAGGCTGAGGGAGGGAGTTGGGTGGGATAGATGGTGGAAACGAAGATGTTATTAAATGTTAGAGAGAATGCACCTGGCGTAGGAGAGAGGGAGGGAAATGCGATGGGGGTGAATTGATTGAAGCTAGCACTCTCGATGGGCAACATTGGCTGAGCGATAACAACAAACCTCGGATGGGTTGTACAATTTGAGTTTCCTGACGCGAACTAAGGAAACATTGCGCTACGGTGGCCGACGAGATAGTGAGATGTTAAAAAATAGATCACGAGAGAAGCTGATCAGCTACGAGAAACGCAATGTGATGCAATCAACTCGCATTGACCTCTCTAAACTAGGTGTAGCCACGATGTTTTAGGCTGACAAGAAAAAATGTAAACTGGTTTCGCTGAAATTTCGGCTGCCACCCCCACATTGCTTCCTGCCAAAAATTAACGACTTGAGAACCACGCACCAGAACTTTGTACGAAGGGCAACGGCTTGGTTCTTCTATGTCAAATTGTTCGAAAATGGAGGGTTGAATGCTTCTCACATTTGATAGCTATGTGGCAATGGTGCGTAGCAGTTCCCAGAGGAGCTTGGGAGGGAGCGACCCGAGACCCAGGAAGGGAGACTGCGACGCTTATGAAACAGAATCGCAGAGCTTCCAAGAGTGAAGTGCCAGCTTTTCACAAACAGAACCAAGGGGAAAGGCTCTTTCCAGGCCAAGGTTGGTGGTGCTGTGCTTAGCCAGGTTTGTGTCCCTCAGGTAGGCTGAATCAAGCTAAGAGATAAGGGGGGTGCCGTTCTGGTTGATTTTCCGTCAAACCCTATTCAACCGTTTTAAGTAATGTTATAGATGCTATTCAACATACAGAACCGTAGTAAAGTGAATCCTTTAATTAGCAGTCCTTAGATGGCTGTGGGAAGTTGAGGGCGGGAGGGGGATGGGATGGGATGGGAAAAGGATTGTTTGACCGTTGACAATCTCCCGCTAACCAATCGGGCCACCACGAGCCAGAGGGGCACAACAGGTAAAAAAATCATGCCGTGTCGTGTTGGCAAAGAAATCTGAGATATTTTCAATGTTAGCCACTTTTAGCTGATGGTACACAAGGTGCCCAACCCCTACACGCGAATTTGCTCTGCCCGCGATGGAAACTCTGCACCCGTGTATTAGGGTACCAGGCAGTTGCACCCTGTTTATAAGCACCTCGAGCAATACGAACCACAAAAACCGAAGTTTGACAGAAGAGACCCATGTCAAACGGTCAACAGTGAGTTACAAAATCTTTTTAAAAGGCCCTTTTTGCTAAGTGCGAATTGACGAAAACTTAGCGAAATGCAAGACTTAAGAGCCCTCTTAGCAGGGCAACCTTGGGTTAGTCAAACGGGCATCGTGTATAGCTGTTACGAGTGCAATTGAGTGAACGAACGAGAATTGCACCATCGAAGCAAGAGTCCAATGAGCGAAGGAATGAGCGAAGAATATATAGCGAAACTACAGTGGTAACGGTAATGGACTGTCGTTGTCGCGCGACGGGCCTGGGACTGAGGTTGGGAAAAGTGTCGAAGCGGAGGCCCGGAGCGCGGGTTACCCGTGTCAGACTAATATATAATTCTATATATTGTTCTATAATTGACTGTAGTGTAGAATACTGTAGTCATATAACTTTCTAGTTGGTGGTGCACCTTGCATGCTCTGTTTGCTATATGTACTCTTGTGCTATAGTGAACACCCTCATTCCCCTCTCAACTTTCTCGACACTCCTCCTTACCCTCGAACTCGATCTACTAAACCTATGGCTCCTAAGCCTACTCATGCTTAGTAACTCAACAACCCGCCGAGCCGTGAGGTCGGGGTGCGACGTGCGAAGGTGGCGGGCGGATTGTCGATGCGAGGATTGCGAGTGGTAACGGTGCTGACTGTGGTGCTACAGTGATGTACGAGTTGAGCAGAGATGCGAAGTAAGGAAAAGGATTTTTCCTTACACTACCCCCCCTTTCTGCTGCGCAGATACTCGATGAGGACGAGGTGGTTTTCGATTCTATCCAAGGGAACCCAATTGTCTTCGGTGGGTGTACGGTCTTTCCAGCGGAGTAGGAACTCGATCCTTCGGGCTCTGTGAGGGTCACGAACTCTGTGGCTCAGGATTTTTTCGGGGGTGATGATTGGTTCAGTCGGCGGTCATGTCATGCTGGCTGGGCGGTTGCGAGGGAGTTGGCTTGTGGACGGGACGTAAGGGCGAAGCAGGCTGACGTGGAACGAGGGGCTGACGTACCAGTCAGCAGGGAGGAGGAGGTGGGCGGTGACGGGCGTTATCATGTGGCTTATGCGAAATGGCCCGCAGTATCGGGGGCGGAGTTTCGGGGTGATGGGCAGTCGGAGATTTTGGGTGTCGAGTAAAACTGAGTCGTCAGGCTGGTAAGTGACAGGTCTGCGGTGGCGGTCGGCGTTGCGTTTAGCGATGATGTTAGCCTTTTTAATTGCGTCTGCTGCCCTGATCCGTTATGCTTGCAAAATCTCGGCGAACTGTTGCGCGCGTGGAACCGGGCTGTCGAGGTTCGGGGTCATGGGTACTGTTGGGTCTTGTCCGTAATTCAGGTAAAACGGTGACTGTTGGGTCGTGGGGGATGGGGCGTTGTTGTATGCGAATTCGATGAGTGGCAATTGCTGTGCCCATGTGTTTGGGTCGTCGCACGTGGCCCGGATGAGCTGTTCCATGGTCTGATTTGTCCGTTCTGTCTGTCCGTCTGTTTCGGGGTGGTACGATGAACTAAACCGTAGGCGCGTGCCGAACTGCTGCCACAGGTTTCGCCAGAAGTTGCTGGTGAATTTCGTGTCTCTGTCGCTGATGATTGATGCTGGTATCCCGTGCAGTCGAACGACGGTAGAGATGAAGAGGCGGGCTGTTTCTTTGGCTGTGATTGATTTTTTGCAGGCTGCGAAATGTGCCATTTTCTTCAGTCGATCAACGACGACCATGATCGCGTCATTTCCACTCGCCCCGGCCGGTAACCCCGTGACGAAGTCCATCGTCACCTGCTGCCAAGCACGCTCTAGAGGTGGGATTGGCTGCAACTGTCCCGCCGACCGCTTCCGTGTTGTCTTCATGATCTGGCAAGTGGGACACGATGCCACGTGTCGCTGCACGTCGGTCAACATTTCGGGCCAGTAATAATACCGCTCCAATTGCTGCCGTGTTTTCTCTACCCCGAAATGTCCCGAGGTAACCCCGTCATGTGCCTCCTGTAATAGTAATTCCCGTAGCCGTGTGTACCCTGGTACCCAGATGCGCTCGATCCCGGCTTTTACGTAATAGACTCCCTTGGCTGCTGCGAACTGCTGCGAATTTCCTCCTGTGAAGAATGGGTCCGTTTGATATCCGTGGGTAAATAGTCCTGTCAGTAGCGGGCTGGTCTGGACGAGTAGTATCGCGTGGATCTGGGCAGTGGGGCGGGTCAGCGCGTCGGCGATGTTCGAGGCTCCTTTTTTATAGGTGACTGTGTAGTGGAGATTTGACTCGAGGAAATCGAGCCACCGAATCTGTCGTAGGTTGAGGTAGGGCAGTGCGCGGAGGTACTCTAGTGATCGGTGTTCTGTCCGTACTGTCACGTCTACGCCGGTCAAGTAGCAGCGCCACACTTTGAACGCATGCACGATCGCGAGCATTTCGCGGTCGTGTATCGGGTAATTTCGCTCAGGCGGATGCAGTTTTCGTGACTCGTATGCGATGGGCTGTAGGCCGTTGCCGAAGTCTTGTAGCAGTACGGCACCAATGGCAATGTTGAGAAGAAACGAGAATGCAATGACTAAGTGAAAGTTGAGTACAAATACAAACCCTACAAAGTTGTACCCCATATGTGCTAACCCGCTATAGCCTACAACAGCTATGTCATATAAATCTGACACACCCCCATAGGCAAAGTGGGGGAGAACAAGGGGTCACAAGACCAATCAAGCAAAGCAAAGCAAAGCAAGCTCAGGGTGGATCACCAAGTCACCACACATTCCTAGCACAAGGTCAAGGCCACAAGGCCAATTCACATGCAGGAGTACACATATATATATAAGGCTAGACAAGCAAGAGCAGGAGTATATATATATATATATAGCAGTACAAACAAGGTCAAGAGGTGGGCAAGTGAGGCAAGGCAGGCACAAGACCCAACTGAGTACAGAAGCGCTGATGATCACAAGGCGCAAGCGCCTTGGTGAAGATATCAGCAGTGTTGGCCTCAGAGGCCACGTACGCAAGACGTAGCTGACCACACTGCTGCAGCTCACGAGCAAGGAAGTAGCGAAGAGCAATGTGCTTCGTTCTGTGCTCCAGTCTTTGCTCTCGACACAAGGCCAGCATGGCCTTGTTGTCTACGTACAGCACTGGAGGAGAACGAGGCTGCTCTCCGAGGTCACTCAGCAGGTAGGTGAGCCAGCGAAGCTCCTGTGAAGCCATGGCCCCGACGTAGATCTCAGCCTCACAATTGGAGCCGAGAACAGAAGACGAGCGCGTAGCCCGCCACGAAACAGAGCCAGAACCAAGGCTGAAGGTGTAGCCCTGTGACGACCGCTGCGTAGCCTGGTCGTCAGCCCAAGAAGCGTCTGCGTGCCCAATAAGGACCACTGGACTCTGCCCTCCAAGCACAAGCCCCATGCCTGACGTACTGCACAAGTAGCGCAACACCCTCTTCGCTGCGGCCATGTGCTCCGGTTTGTGTCTCCCAGGAGCAACATAGCGCACGAGAATGCTAAGAGGGTATGCAAGGTCAGGACGAGTGCAAGTCATCAGGTACATGAGGCAGCCAACAAGCTCTGGATACGGGCCACTCGACTCTACGGACTCATCCGAAGGCAGAGCTGAGAGTGAGTGGCGAGTAGGCAGAAGAGTGGCCTGAGGCGAGGAGTACGTAAAGCCGAAGCGCTGAAGGACC